AACTGCAGGAAGAGAGAGAGAGAGCGAGCACTGTTGGGTCAGGACTGTGCTCACAAATGTGAAGTAGATTCTGGGTAATAAAGCCACACAAACGTTCTGGTCATGAGAACGCTCCCTAGACAGAAGGACTGACTTCTAACGCAGTGAGCAAGTGAATGGTACGGAATGAGCTGGGTGACAGCTAGATGTACATACTTTGGAAGTCTTCTCCAACCAGGGATCTTGTAATTCTCAATTCTCTTCTGTAATTAGAAACCTATTGCCAGGCTGGCGGTTTTAAGCTCAGTGAGTTGGACTCAGTGCATGTGCAGGGGGGGTTGGGGGTGGGGTCACACACTGCCGTTCCTCAAGATGAGTCACAACAGAGGATACACGTGAATTGTTAGGTGCTTCGGAAAGATGCACTGTTTGCAATCTGAAGGTCGTACGAATTCTATGCCAGAAGTCCAGATTTCAGTTCTGTTACTCAACTGTTTAATCTGGACAAGTTCTGATTTCCCCAGACCTCAGAGGAACTGAAGAGTGCAGGGAGTATTTCTTATCTCTCCAGAATTATTTTAGAAGGAGTTGGTGGTTTGGAGAGTCCCAGTAATGGGGACGCTATAGCACCTAGTGGGCCAGGGGTGGCAAGAGTCCTGCAGCGCCCAGAACACCAGTGCTCCTTCCATGGAGAAATGCTTACTAAAGAAACATTTATAAACAATTTATAAACTGGGCTGGGGGTGTGGCTCAAGGGGTAGACACTTGCCTTTTAAATCCCAGTACCACCAAAAGGAAAGAAAAGGAAGGGAAGGAGGGAGTGAAAAGAAAAGAAGGGAAGGGAGGAAGAAAGGAAGGGAGAGCGTGAGAGAAAGAAGGGAAGGAAAAACAGAAGAAAAGAGAAAAAAACCCCATAAACTCTCCAGATCAAATTTTGAGGACTGTTAATAACTTTTGATTAGCAACAGTTCTTTTTATCTAAAACACAATGGCTTATCAATGATTTCTTGCTAAGTAGTTAATATAATCCACAACCAAACACTGAACATCTAGGAAAGATTAAAAAAAATTCAGGTAATATGTTGACATTCTCTCTACCCAAGACAACATTACTGAAGTCACTAAAGCCATTAGTGTTTCTCTCCCACCACTAGGAGTACAGATTTTTAGGTATTTAGTTGATCACTAGGCGCATTTTCATCAAAAGTATTACTCCTAACAGCTACAAGAAATAATGGGTCTTAGAAAGGGAAAAGGTGAATTAATGTCTTAAAGAATTAAAAAAAATTAAGAGATATTCAAGTATTAATGCAGAATATTTATTGAATTATGCTGAACAAATTTTGGCTTTAGGGTTGTTTATTAAATAATTTAAATAATAAATATTATACTGAATAAATTTAATAAATTAAATAATTAAATATTACATGGCACATTTCATAATTTTAATAATTTAAATCCAGGCAGTACTGGGTTTTGAACTCAGGGCCTCAGGCTTGCTCAGCAGGTGCTCTACCACTTGAGCCAAGGCCCTACTCTTTGCCCTGGGCCATTCTCCTACTCTAATCTTCCTACCTACGCCTCCTGGCTAGCTGGGATAACAGACCACGGCCAGCTAGTTTGCTGGGACAGGAAACAACTTACTAACTTTTTGCCTGGGCTGGCCTCAAACTGCAATCTTCCCAATCTCAGTCTCCTGAGTCACTGAGATTGTAGGTAAGAGCTATCATATCCAGAACTTATTTCAACAAAATATACACATTTTGGATTTTACTTTTATCCCTTCCTTCAAGAAGTATCACACATGCATATGTGCACATTAAGTTTTCGGAAACTGGAGTTTTAGGCTCAGAATCAACATCTGAGTTTTAGTTACTTTTGACATTTCCACACACAAGCTTTGTGTATATAGATTTATAGTTAGGAATGAAAGCATATTCCTTTCTGCTACTAGATTGCTGTTCCTTCCTTCAAGACTCATAGGTGGGATTTCTTCCCCAAATCTCTGGTTTGATTTTTTTTTTTAATAGCAAACATTTTGACCCCAGTTTTGCCTTCAGCATTTATTTTAAAAAATACAGAATGCTAATATTATCTTAACACATCTACTGACATAAACAACCCTGGGCTATGACATAACACAAAAGATGGTTCACTGATAAGTACTTCAGAGTAAATGTGCTTTCATTCTGATAAACAGGAACTGTAATTTCCTTGAGTTCTCTCTCATTAGGGCTTTTCCCGGGAAACACTCACATGACTAATACTACACAGAACAATACATTTACAGTGTGCAAGGTAATATTTAAACTCAAGACTGCATGTTTACCAAGAGAAAATGTTCAGGAACACAAAACATCTCTTACATGTTTATATAAAATAATATAATAGTCTGCAAAAAACCCAAGGAATAAAAGCATTCTTAATGTGATTCCTTAAAAAAACAAACAGGGCTAGAGATAAAGCTGAGTGGTAAACACTTGCCTGGTATATACAAAGGTGCTGGGTTTGATCCCCAGAACCACAAAAGACAAAACAAAACCAAAACAAACAAAATCCTACAGCAGCAAAAAAAAAACCCCAAAACAAACCCAAACCATAAAAACTCTCTTTGAAAAAAGCTTGTGGATTGCATGATAACAATTCATGGTTTATTACAAATTCCTAATTAATTCTCTATGACAATAAAAATATCAAAGACATATAGTTTTTAAATGTTAAAGAACAAGAGACTCAGATAAAAAAGGACCAATCCCAACAAATTACTATTTAATTTCTTAATGTTACACAGACAACATACTAACTTCAAGAAGGGTGTGAAGGGCTGGTAAGTTAAGAATTTTTTAAATTTAAGAGTCTGACAAAGAGCAGAAAGATGAAAGAGTTTTATGCTTGAAAGACATCATAAAATTAAGCTTATACAAGGGCATGCATCTTCCATTCTAAGACACCAAAGCACACACATCTACCTGACCTAGCTAGGGAATACCCAGATCTACTTTAGTATAGATTTGGAGAATACAGGAAAGCCAGTTCTGCCTCCATGAAAGCAGTAACCCACACCATTGCTTGTGCCTGTGTGGCTCAGCGCTGGAGTCAGAAACAAGGAGATCCTTCTATTTCTTTGGCAGAAGTAAGACATGGTCCACTCTGCAGAGATTTCACAGCAAGCTTCGAAGCAGCAGCTAACAGCTTCTCTCTATTTGCCATCACTCTAGATCACAGAAATGCACACATTCTTTCTTTCCTGCCCTGCTTCAGTCACACGGAGCTCTCTGACTGAAAATGTCTGGAACAGATTAAAAGTCAGGCCACAATAAAAAGCCTTGGCATGCTGTCAAGCCTGTCTGGAATACACATACAGAGTGGGCCCAAAAAGGGAAACTAATGCACTAAGAGAATTTTATGAAACTTTTTTTGGGCACATCTAATTGTATGCTTGTGTGTACACGTGTGTTGGAGGTAGTAGGAGGGTTTCTTTTTCTTTTTTTTAAATACTTTCCTTCCTTTAAAACACAAAACAAAAACAAGCTGTGGCTGTAATCAATAAATCAATAAACTGAAAATACTTTAACACAAGCTTTGTCTTAAACGCTGATCTCTGCAGTTAGTTAAGACTTAATCATTTTTTCATAAGCTTATCATGGGTGGGAAAGACACTGAGCACCATTCTTTAAAATTTCCAAAATGTGGATGAGTTGAATTCATTTCATTAAATATGATTTAAAGAAACATGAGTGTTATCATTCCAGTCCTTATATAAATGGCAACATTTATTAAATTTTCTACCTTACATGGTTTCCCATTTCAACCATAAGGGCTCATTCAAATATTAAATAGAATCTGAAGTTGCAAATATTAACATTCCACATTGCTGAAACTAGATATCTGTCAAAATGACCCCATCTTTGACTTTACTTTGAATAGTGGGTTCAATTAATCCAAAAAGCTGACAGTTGAGGCAAACCCAAGTACTGTTTGTTTGGATTTTTTTTTTTAAAGACTTACATACAGGAGAACTGTTCACAATGTCCCTGACAGGGAAGGTATTTTACCTAACCAGCTCCAGAGTTTTTTCCTTTCTGCCCCCAGGGTTGTGTTTTGATGGTATTCACAGAGTTAATGCCTCCTTCCCATATGGGCCCCACGGTTGTTGGGTCAACCCCTGCAAGGCTTCAAAGGTTCTGTGTCCCCTCAGCCTGACCCACTCAGTGATCTGCACATTGTTTCCATTTAACGGCGTCCAGTCCAAGATGAGAGCTTCAAAACCACAATTCTCTGCTTCTTTTTACATTCATTTTCCATGGCTTTGGAAAAGTATCTCAGAACCCAACTGAAAACTGAAAAAACGTGGATAAAAAGGCACTGAATAACTGGTACACTGTAATCAAAACGTGCACTTTTGGGAGGACAGAGTTCCTGTGTGTGCGAATGGTGATTTGTCCATGTAATTTGGCAGGGAATATGGCTTTTGGTTTTTTGTTTGTTTCCTAAGTTAAAAAGAAAAGAAAGGATCTTTACTTAAAAATAAGTAAATAAAAAGCCAAAAGAACAGAGTGGAACACACTACCATGAGGCTGTTTTTAGGGCTATGGGAAGAAGCACCATATGGGGTGGAGCTTGTCGATCCAGAAGTTAAGCACAGGCAGACAGTAGGTCACCACCAAGGCTGGCACTCCAGGTTTGAGATGTTGCCTGGCAAGCTGATTGTTACTGCAGCCCTAAAGGTCACTTTTGACAATACCACCATTTCCCCCAAATGTGAAAGGAACAGATTCTGGCTAGTCAGCTGATTACAACATCCCCCATCTCAACCCAGTCTAAAAAGATGACTTACACCTGAGTTTCTCAAGCTTAAATGAGAGGTTAAAAAAAAAAAAGTACTGGGAACAGTTGGGTAGGCAGTCATTCTTTAGTGCTACAAAGCAATGCAATTAATTTTATTCAAATGTGCTTTCCTAAATTCACACACAAAAAGAAATAAAAAATATCTTAAAATAGGTTTTGAGATGAACCTTTACCAAAACGAGAGTCAAGCCTGGGGTCTAGCCAAGAGGTGGTCTTGTTCTTATGGTTTATATAGTAAATTTCTCCATCCTGAGTCATGGCTTGTTCCCATCCATCAGGAAGAGGACCTATAATACAGAGAGAAAAAAAAAAAAAAAAAAAAAAAAAAAAGCATGGTTGGTTTTGACTTGGTGTACCTAAAAAACAAAAAACAAAAAACAAAAAACTGGGAGGGGTGCTAATTTAAAAAGAAGATACATCTAGACATCAGACAATTTATTGAAACAGATTTCAACCTATATTCAGAGAAGAAAGTGTATACACCTGATTCTTCTCCACTGAAAAGTTTCTGAAACCACTAAATAATAAAATCGACATCCCCAAAGACACAGATGGGGTAACGGGTAGGGGGAAGCAGATAAATGGCACATTTTTTCCCAAGACTTCCAACACCAGTTATTTCATTACTTATGTGACTGGCTTTCACCAAGAAGGCTGTAATGCAGAAAACTACAATCCAAAACCAGCTTCTTTTAAAGCAGTGCAGAACTGCTAGGAGGTGGGACTGTGGATGGAATGCTGGAGACTTAGAAGAAGGGAGGGCTTGAAGAAGAAAGGGACAAAAGACTCAGCTTCAAAGGAATCAACCTCAGGAATCAACCTCAGAGAAATAAAACTGAACAGCTAATGCTAAGAAGATTTTTCTATTTTTATGAGAGTAAGGAAGCCAGGCACTTGCTTTTAGGATGTAATAAAGTACTGAAGTAAACACTTCCACCAGAAAGGCAGAACTCCCAAATTGAATATTAATTGTGAAGAAGGCTCAACTGTAAAATGTTTTTGAAAAACACGTGAACTATTAAGAATGCTAAATTCCCAGATAGCATGGTGGATGAACAAGTCACCAGCAATCACTGGATGCCTCCGAGAGCCTCATTCAACAATCCAAGAGACCTCATTACAGGCTTCAACCCACATGAATATATGGACACTGTTGTTTTCAAGGGCATCACTCCCCACCTTAAAACCACAAACCAAACCTTCCCAACCTGCCCCATTTCCCTGTCCAGCTCTCAGCTCAATCACCAATACTTACCAACTCGTTTTTAAACATTTAATTAGCATATATTAAGTTGTGCAGAGGGGTTTCACTGTGACATTTTCATGTGTGCTTATAATATACCTAGGTTTGGTTCACCCCTCTATCATTCTCCCTACCCCTCTCCAGGCTACTTAAAACATTCATAGGTTTCATTGTTCTATTTCTGTACAACTATTCAAGTACATCAACCCTCTCCCCTTCCGTTAGTACCCTTCCTCTGATGGTACCCGTTTTAAATTCCTGACCTTTTTTTAAAGTATAAATTAATTGTTCAATTTTGCCATGGTGTTCCACCATCTTGTACTTTAATCAGACTAGCCCTCTCTATTACTCTCCCTCACCCCCCCCAACTTATTATTTAAAAGCTTTCAGTGTGCTGCTACTAACACGGTGTGTGTGATTAGACCAACTCTTTCTGAACTGCAACAGAGCTTCCTTCCTCAGTGACCTGCTCATGTCTCCTCCCTCCAATATCTTCTATCAAACAGCAATCGGCTTTCTTGTTCTTGTTGCTGCTGTTGTGTGTTTGTGAGTTTAAACACGGGCCTCCCATGGCTAGGGCAGGTGCTCTACCATACCACTTGAGCCACGTCCAGTCCTGTATGCTTTAGTTATTTTTCATATAGGAGTCTCACTTTTTTCCCAAGGCCAGTCTGAATCACAATCCTATACTCTTCCTCCAGCACAGCTGGGATCACAATATGCACCACCAGGCCCAGCTTACTAATTGAGATGGGGGTCTTGCTAACTTTTTGACTAGAAAGACACCATACCTGGCCATAAGGTTTTCTTGACATACTTTTAGTCAACTTTTGTGTGTCACTCATCATGCCAGAAACATTTCCGTTGCTCTCTGCCATCAAGATGAAAATGCTCAAATCCTTCCTCAACTGGACTCACTTTTGTTCCTTTCACACATTTATTTATCTAGGCTGTTAGAAGTAACAGCACAACACACAGCCCAGAAGGCGGCAGCAGCACCTCCATCCTTAGTTCCACTCTAGCATATGATGACGACATCATTACTCCCCACCCCCCCACACACACACCACACACACACCACACACCACACACACACACCACACACACCCCCCCACACACACCACACACACACACACCAGACACACACACACACACACCACACACACCCCCCCACACACACCACACACACACACACCAGACACACACACCACACACACACACCAGACACACACACCAGACACACACACACCACACACACACCACACACACACACCACACACACACCAGACACACACACCAGACACACACACCACACACACACACCAGACACACACACACCACATACACACACATACACACACCACACACATACACACACCACACCACACACATACACACACCACACACACACACACCAGACACCCACACCACACACACCACACACACACACCACACACACACACCACACACCCCACACACACACACCACACACACCACACACACACCACACATACACACACCACACACACACACCACACCACACACACACCACACACACCACACACACACACCACACACACACACCACACACCCCACACACACACACCCCACACACACACACCACACACACCACACACACACACACACCACACCACACACACACCACACACACACACCACACACACACACCACACACACACACACCAGACACACACCACACACACCACACACACCACACACACCACACACACACCACACACACACCACACACACACCACACACACACACCACACACACCACACACACACCACACACACACCACACACACACACACACACACACACCACAAGGGCCTAACACATGCTAAGCAAGCACTCTACCATGTGCCAACCCCCAGCCTGACCTCACCACACTCAAATCCACAAGGCTTCATTTGCTAGGTCCTATTCTGTGAGACTCACAGAGGCTTGGCATCTTGCTCAAGGTCCTAAAATTTAAGCTAGAACTTAAACTCAGGTGGTCTGATGCTTGAACTTCTGCGTTTATTTTAAGCTTACACTTTGTAAATATATAAATAATTCTCCAAAATTTATGCTAGTGTTTCTACAGATTAAAATCTCAAAGTTGAAAGTGACATGTCTCTTTTATATCTAAGTCATGTATTAATTCACTAAAAATGTAGACTTAAAAAACTAAATTCAGATAAGCCAAACATGATGGTACACACACACAATCCCAGCTACTCAGGAGGCTGAGGTACGAATATCCCAAGTTTAAGACCAGCCCTGGCAACTTAGCAAGACCCTATCTCCAAATCAATTTAACAAGGACTGAAGATACAGCGGTGAAACACTTGCCTGGCATGTGTGAAGCCCTTGGTTAAATCCCCAATACAGCAAAGAAAAATTTTTCTCTTTTTTAAAATTCAGAAATCTTCTCATTAATACCATTTATTGTGGAAAAAAAATGAAAATGCATACATTATGGACATGAGTTTAAAAAGGAGACCAGCTCAGTACAAATCCACAGTGGGTGATCATTACCTATTTTCTCCCTGTATTTCGAATAATGTGCATATCAAATACATTGTATCAATAATTTTATAAGTGACCAAATGGATACCAAAATATATGTGCTAAACACAAAAGAAAACTTTATATACTCATTTATGTTTTTAATGCTTTCTGGATGAAGACAGAATGATACAGTGGCAAGAGCCCCAAATGAGATGCTTTCTTTGCACTGATGGAAAGCCACTGTCAAAGGCGAGGGTGGATTAGAAAAAATAGCCTTTCAATTTAACACTTTTTTTTTTTTTTGTGGTACTGGGTTGGGGGCGGGGGAACTTCCACTAGCTAAGCAGGCACTGAACCACTTGAGCCACTCCAGCAGCCCTGTTTTGTGTGGGGTATTTTCAAGATGGGGGTCTTGTGAACTATTTGCCTGGGCTGCTTCGAACCGCAATCTCCCTGATCCTCCTGGGTAGCTAGCACTACAGACATGAACCACAGCCACCAACACCTGGCAACAATTTAATCTTTAGTAGTGGAATTAAACTGAAAAGGAAAACAAAAATCTGCAAGCTTAGGTGCCAATTAAGTAAAACAATACAAACTCAGGCTTTATTCACAAAAAAACTGGCCCTGAGCAGGTCTTCAGGAGAAGTGCTACAGTGAGTAACTCTTAATGTAGATTTCAAGTTTTCCCATCAAACTTAAGCCAATTGTTGAATAACCATGGAACACAGACAAAGAATGCTATGTTTTCTGCATCATCGAGTTGCACAGGCCACTACCGAAAGTTTAGTTCAAGCATCTGTTTGGGCTAGGAGAGAGGGATAAGGTCACTATGTCTAATAGAGAAATCTGGGTTTTCCACAAAAATACATCTCTAAGAAGAAACTACAGAGATAGACCAAAATCAGTCTAGGATACTTTTTTAAGTTCAACTGATATTCTGACATCAGTGTGTCATTAAGCACTCTAACTTCTTCAATATGGAGTATAGGAAAATAAAGTAAATTTAGGGCCCAGGCAGTAGAGAGCCTGCCTCGAAATGTCAAAGTGTGAAGCCTGAGTTCAAGCCCTAGTACCCTAGTACTGCCAGTGGGCGCGGGGGGTGAGAAAAGTAAATTTAACTGGTAAATTTTTATTTGCCTAAAATGATGTAAAACAGAGTAGCCCTCGAACTTTAGTGTGCATCAGAATCACATGGACACTTCATTTTAACATGGTGCTGAGCCTCACTCCCAGTTTCTCACTTGGAAATACACTTTGAGAACCACTGATTGAAAGCAACAGAACTGCTTCTTGAATCTATTCAACTTCCATTCCTCCCCATCTCTTCACTGTTAGGTGCCAAGACAGCTCTGAGATCATGTCTGCTAGAGTAAGATATGGCAAATGTCTCCCAACTATCAGGGAAGGCAGTCCTCAGAAGGGTGGTGATACCCCACTCCCCTCTTTTAAAATATCTGAAAGACCTAAGACAGTGTTATGGAAGAGACAAACATCCTTTCTCACTTGCCCTTATGAGCAGATGGAA